GCGCGATGTCCTTGAGCGCGGGCGGGAGGGGAGGCGGGCTGCGGCCCAGGCTGCTCTCGCAGCCCCCGGGGGCGCTGCCGTCGCCGGGGCGCCCGGTCGGGCCGCCGATGTACACCCGGCCGGAGCCCGCGGGGACAGGGCGGCGGCCGCGCCCCGGTAGACCGGTCCTGGCCTGCCGCGCTGCTCCGATAGTTGGGGTGACGAACTGGCCCTTTCAGGTGCTCCGACCCGGGGGCTTTTATAAAGCCTTTTTCCGCCAAGGTGGGAATTCGGCTCCGGGGTAGGATTTAAAAGAACAATGGAAGCCCTCACTTGCTTTAAGCCAAAATAAAACTTGTTCTTTTTTCCTCGCCCCGTTGGGTGTTGGCTTTTAACTCTTTGGAAGCTGCTTTGGAGGACGGCTGTTCTGTTCGTAGATGCGAAGGCATCTTGCTCGGTAAATGTCCGTGACGTGGAGGTTGCCTTTTAGAAAATGGCAAGTTGCAGGAGTGCTTCTGGTATTTCAAAAATGACGACGGCGACAGGGCAGGTTAATGGAAATAGCTTTGATAATTACGGTGCTAAGATGACGTTTGGTGTATACAGCCTATTTTTACCAAGTAATTAAGCCAAGATCATTTGACATCCTGATATTTGAACATAAAGATGCTGTTAGATACTTTTTAAAATCGGTTGGAAAGAGCCGTTATCTGTAACTTCTCACACCCGAGTGTTAAAACGTACTTGGGTCAGTTTTCAAATCTCAAAAAGTTGAAGTTCATTTTGTTATTTATTTACTAAAAGACTGTCCACTATCACAAACCGTGATCGAAAAACTTTTACAAAGGAATATTGTAATAGCATATCTCTTGGTGAAGTTACTTTCTCGTAGTGTAAATACTGAAGTAAGGCTACTCTCCGTGATGGGCGATGAAGAGGGGCCATATTTGTTGCATGTATAAAAATCGAGATGTGCTTAAAAACGGAACAGTATTGAAAAAAATAGAGATTTTTTTTTAAAAATTGCAGTTTTCCGCACACTCTTTAGAGATATTTGAGAAGTAATACAAGTTGAATGGTTTGAAAAACAAACCAGGACTGCACAGACCTTTGTGTATTTTTGAATATATTTGTCTTCTGCACAGCCCTTGTGGTGTGAAGGTGCAGAGAACTGCGTAAAGATAGTGTTGGAGAGACTTACGTAGTGCATCTAAAAATCGGAGATCCTGGTTTATTTGACCATATTTCATAGGGTATTTCCAGAAAAAAAGGGATACCTTTTATAGAGTAGTATATGCTGTATCAGTTGCGCATACCTTGATTTCACAGAATCTAAGTACTAATTTTATTTTTTCAAATAAAAATGCTATTGAAATGTTTGAACTCTGAAAGTGATTTTTAAAAGATTGGGAGCATCCTTTTTGAATAGTAAAGAGTAAAAATAATTGCTAGCATTTAAATATCTTAAGATCTTTTTACATTGTAATTGGGGGAGGAGAAAGACAATATTCTAGACCCTGGTTTGAAATTGAATGAAGGTCATAGATACCAGAAGTTTTTGAGCTGCTTAAAAGACAAAGCTAATATCCCACTTGGTGAGATCAGATAGCTTGCAGTTTAAAATTTAAAGTAACCAGTGGCCATTTTAAGTTCACTAATTTCTCCTGGAGGAGTTGATTTTTTTTTTTTTAAAATGCTCATAAATAAGAGGTATTTGTAGATGGTAAAGGAAAGAAATTATAAGATGTTTGAAGTCTTTAAACATTGTCAACTTTTCCTTTCTTTTTGTTTATTACCTGATGTCAAAAGGGAAAATGAAAACAAGGTCATAGTCATTTGAATTTTCTGTATTTCTAATTCCAATGTCTTATTCCCTAGTATTTGTCAGTAAAATAAAAAATAAGGAAAACAAAGACTGAGAGACATTAAGGACAAGAAATAATTGCAACCGTAAATGTCCAGGTTGTGTTCGAGCCATCTGTTAAATGTGAACATGGATCTTGTCTTTGAAATATTTTCTCATTTCATCACACTCAATCTTTGGCCAACAGATGTTTAGAAATCAAAACACTAATACCATTTTCCTTTTTGTTTTTTCTTTCTAAAGGTGACTTACAAGATTAAAATTAATATGGTTGCTGATGGTTCTGAATAAATACAGCTTTTATTACAGGTAAGATTTGGTAAATCTTTATTGATTTGGCATAAAAATTAATTTATTAGGCTTATATTTTGCTTTTTTGATGATTTATATTTCCAGCATCCAATTAATATGTATTTATGCTTTTAAAAAGTGATTATGAATAAGCGTATGTATCTGAAATAATTTTTTTAAAAAAACATAAACCTTTTCACTGGATAAGATTAAAAGAATAATGTATGTAACCATTGTAACATAATGTACCTTTGAGTAGCTTAAAAAATGAATTTTTAAAAAGGCTTTGTTTTATTTTGGTACCAAGATTTATTATATTTTGGTGACAACCATGGATCAAAAAACATGTTATTTCTTTTCATCTTTATCAAGCAAATGATTTTAGTCTAAGTATTCAAAGAAAGGTAATGGGAAATTTGAACTTGTTTGCCTTTTAGACTAATAGATTTTAGAGAAGAATATTTATTTAAAAAGGTAGTTTTGAGCATAAATAGTAGTTCTTGTTCTATATAATAAAAAAGTTTAAAAAAATATTTATTATTGATTGCTTCATGAGTAAGTTGTTTAGAATATTGTTTGTTTCTCTAAAAGGTGGGCCATTTTGAAGATTGAGACAATGGTCTTATATTTGAGCATAAAGGAAATCCTTTGGGAAAGTCTATTTTATATGGCAAGTAAGTAAATGTTTTTAATCGTCATCCTCCCTGAATCTGAGTAGAAAATATCCTTAAAGTTTGTCAATGAAACATAAACTGTTAGACTGTTTTCTGTTAAAAAAAGAGAAAAAAAAAGTCCTCAAATTTCTTTATCTTAAACCACTTTTAAAGTATTCACTGTTAAAACAGCTGATGCATTTAATTTATATTGATGTGTGTAATTAATGTCCAATAGTAAGATTTAGTACTTCTCAAGAAAATGGTGCCCTCATATGATGATTAAATCTGAGCTGTGTTTAGAGTCTGAAAGATACATTGTTTAGTCTGTCTTTTTGTCTTTCATACAGATCACATAGGAATGTCCTAAATTTACAATTTTTGGTCCTTTGATTCTTTAAAGAATTGTATTTCAAAAGTTAAATATGCACTTTGATCTTTAATTTGTAATTAAATGATCAAAATACTCATTTTTAGTAGTTTTATTTTTAAACAAGTACAGAATGGGTTGTTTTTCAGCAGAGTAAGTTCACTCTGCTCTAGAGACTTCTATATCTAAGTAAGTGTTTTAAAATCTAAAAGATCATTTCAGGCACAATAGGTTTTAGATATTATCTCTGTATACCAAAGACTGAATACATTGACATCTAAAAACTATAGGTGAATGAAGAAAATGTGTATATGTAATGAAATAAATACTTCTCATTAAAAGTTTGAATCTAGAAATTAATGTCTCATTTTAAATGATTTGTTTGACAAATATGAAATAAGCGATACCTTGGAAAATAAAAGATCACCAGTTGACTAAGAACAAATTTACTTTGGTCTTAGAAATTTGTGGAAAATAAAAGTACAATCTTATTGGTTGGCATTACCTTGTTTGGTGATTCAAATAAATAGTAAGGGAAATAGACTAATTTTATTGCCTTTGTGTTAGCTTATGAGTTCTTATACAGCTTATTCAAGTTTGTATTGTGTATAAAAGAAAAAGGGATTTTTTGAAAATCTGTGTTTTAGAAAGAGAATATACCAAAAACTCTAATATCTTTCATCTTAAACTCCTATAACATAAATGCCAAGATTAATTTCCTTTTTGTAGCTGCTGGAATGTTTACCTGGCATTTGTTGAGCATTACTAGGAAAATTAAGAATGAGGTCTTTTTTGTGAAGCTATCAGAAGTATAAGTATAAATAGGCAGTATGTTTATAATAATCTACTGAAGGTGTAATTTAATTGATTAAAGAAAAGGTGAACGGTTGAAGGTCAGAAATTCTAAATGAAGTTTTAATCTTTTTTTGACATTTGTACTTTTAAAAACTTGATGTAGTAACTGCTAAATTAAATCGTAGTCTGGTGGAGGCAGTTTATAACCAACAAGATGAAGGGTTAGAATAAATTATATTTTATGAAGTGTATGTATTTGAATCTTTATGATGTTTATATTCAGTGTATTGCTCGAGCCAGTCTTCCTCTTGAAAGATTGGCATATGAGGGTCAATTGTCAAGTTAGATACCCCTTATGTAGAGGAACTTATATGACCTACATTGATACATTTATCAATGGGATAAATACTTATGTATTTGATTTTATCTTAGTTTGGACTAATTCTTGAATTAAAAAAACTCATCAAGTTGCAATTACATTGGATTATATTTAATGTTTTGATAATTTTAAAGAATTATTTGACATTCCAAATAAAGAAAAGAAGCTGTTAAAGCCAATTATAAGCTTCTGTGGACTATGATACAATATTTACAATCTGGAGTATATGAAGTAGGCAATTTTAAATTTAAAGTTTAGTTTTCTGATCACAGTATCTTGACTGTAACATTTGGGCTGTGGATAACCAATTTATGTTTTCTCCTCTGACATTTATTGTTGAATCAGCGATATATGCTAGAGTAGGAAATATTAACTGTGATTCAGTGATCAGGAGGCTCAGCTACTAGTTTAAAAAGACTCCCTTGACATTTTGTTCTATAGACTAATTTTATTACTCCCTTGGACTTCACAGTTTCATCTTTCTTAGCTCTTAAATTATATGATTAAAATTAATCTTGAGTATCTAGATCTCTTTAGACAAACTTTATTTTTTTGTTGTTGTTGTTTTTTCATTGCATATCATGTTTTACTTCTGTTGTGAAAATATTGGAGTAAGACCCAGAATGATTGCTTTCTTAATTTCTATGTGTTCCAAAATATTAATAATGTAAATATGGATGTTGGAAAAGTAATTAAGTGTGAACTTCAGGGTGGGAATGTAGAAACATTTAATTTTTTTCTAATTTATTCAGCATATTTATATTGTCTAAAGTTGAATGTATTCTCATTGTTTGCAGTTGTCCACGATTATAAACAAGATTTGTGCCAGGGCATGGTGGCGCACACCTTTAGTCCCAGCACTCAGGAGGCAGATGCAGGTGGATCTCTGGGTTCAAGGCCAGCCTGGTCTACATAGTGAGTTCCAGGACAGCTGGGGCTACAGGGAGACCCTATCTCAAAAAGACCAA